CTTTTTGTAGTCTGAAAGACCCCTACTTATGGGCAAAATATGGAGCCAAAAGCGGTGAATCACTTGGGAACCTTCCCTTGTGAGAAAAAAAACTCATCCCGATTGATTAGAGAAGACTGTGAATACTGAATTTCTTTATCATCTAGTTATTTATATGTCACGTGTATTTAGGATCTTATGCAGATTGTCAATCATAAAATTCAAAATAAATCTTTGTTTTACAGAAATGAATTCTAGAAGGTAGCAAGTTATTGTTTTTTTTATTGTCCAATTTGAATATCACATTATGCTAGCAAATACAGAAACAGAATAAATCAAACAAAAGTTTCGAGTTGATGTTGTTTAATAGAATAAGTCGTACTATCTTCAGCTGAAAGTGAACCTAAACATGAATCAGTAATACTTTGTTCTGATAAATTCTCATCATTAGATAAACACAAACAATTTTCTCCTTGTTTCAACAATATTAATCGATCAATATCACGATCAACACTTGAAGTTCGTTGAATTGGTGATTTTTTTAAAATACTTTTCACTTGTGGTATTATTATTGTTGATGATGTAGATGTTGTTTCATGTTTCTGTGTTATTGTTGACAAACGAAATCGAACACGAGATAAAGAACGACTTGATTTCATCGTTTCTCGATTATTAATAGCTTTATAATATTCATCTTGTCGTGATTGTCTTGTATTTATTTGTCTAAAATTCAAAGTAAAATTAAAGAAAAAAAAAACAACTTTTGAATTTAAAACAAACTTTTTATCATTATTAATTTTTATTAATTGATTAATGATATTTTGTTGTTTTTGAATTACTAATTCTTGTATTTTTAATTGTTGATAAGGATCAATTCCTAATGAATGTTTTACTGATGTTCGAAGAATTTTTTTACGTTGTGCAAAACGTAATGATGATAAATTATGTTTAAATTCAAATTTAAAATGAATATCAAATAATGAATAATGATAAAGAATATCTTGAATAAAATCTGTAGTTTTTAAAATGATTAAATAAGATTGATATTCCATATATAACGAACAATCATCTATAGTTAAATATTCTTTTTCAGATAAATTATCAAGTAATGCATTTATTATATCAGCAACTGTTGTTAAATGATTTAAATTTGTTATACATGTATTTACTCCTTGACAAGATACTTGAATACATTTAAATAATTGATGCTGCCAAACTAGAATAATCAAAAATTAAAATAAAAAAAAGAAAGAAGTTTTTATTGAAGAATTTT